TAATTATTTTATTAATTAATAATTATAATTATTTTTAACAATTAAATTAAATTAATATTTAAAAAACAAAAACAAAATTTAAAAGTTTGTGCGCCAACGTAGCCCCAATAATTTGTTGGGAGGCCATTAGCATTCCCCCACAAATACACGAGTTGTTGACCTGAGCCGAACATATCTCAATGCATAGAAGTCAGGATGTAATCTTTTGGAGAGATACATTCGTCTGAAATTTTATGATTTTCTAAAAGCAAATTTCAATGTCTCAAAACCAAAGCCCAAAACAGAGACTCCAATACAGTAAAATAGAAGTCTGAACACATATCTTAAGCTAATACGATACATTTTCTCTATCCATACGCATACAACGAGAATGACTCTCTCCGTCCTCAAGTCTTGAGCATTCTTTTTCTTCCAAAAAATCACCAAGGAATATAGGTTAGAATGCAATAAAAATGAGAGCAAAATTTGAAGTCTCAGTCGTTTCACATCTGTTAGCAACTTAATCTGAATCAGATGATCTTTCAAAATCAGGTTTGAGCGTCATAACCATCTTAGACAGTGTCTCTCCAAAGTCTTCAAGTTCATCCTTTCCAAAGCCCCAGCTTCTGAGTAATTCAGTCCCAGGAGCTCCCCGGTTTATACCAAACTTACGAAGATTCTCCAGTCTGTTTTCCAGAAATGGCAGGACGGCACTGCTAGAACGTAGTCTAGCTGCCATGGGGATGGAATGGACATCGAGTGATCCCCTTGATTGAGATCCTAAGATTGGGCTTCCTAATAGCTCACCTTGCTGACCAATAAGATTCCCAAAGATTGATGGAAATGGCAATGGTATTGGAAGAGGACAGAGAGCAGTGGAGAGGTGGCAGAACATAGGCCTTGTGGTTGCACGTTCATATGCAGCCTGAACTGCATTTTTTACTTCAGACACTGAAGCTCGATGATCTCCTGTAGCCATAAAAGGCAGTTTTATCACTTGGTTACCAAGATGCTAAGCACAGAAGGAATTAAAATGCAATAAATTGGATCAGTTAAATGACAAAGGCCAGAGCGGACATCATTTCAAACATAGTTTAGGACTTAGGAGATATAAAACATATAACAAGTATTGGGATAGGATGCATATCATTACTGAAACATGAACACGTACTAAATGGTTACCTTCTGTAAATGCTCCTTGTACAATAAGGGATTCTACAACCTGCAAATCTTCAGCATCTTCCACTACTTCTGGTGTCAGTGACTGTAGATTCCCAAGCAAAGACTGTTGATCCTCTGTCCCTGGATATCAGAATCCAGATGAATTTACTACTCTTTTCATATCCCAAGGAAAATTAGCTATCTAAAATTTAGTAAGAGTTTGAATAAAAAAAGCTTCAAATTATACCAGTTAAACCAGGTGCTGGCATTGTGACATCCAGAATAGCCACCATATTCTGTCTTGCTTGCCCTGCTAGCATTTGTACAATCCCATTTACATCAATGGCACCACAAATCTCAGATGAATCTGCTGTCGGACCAGGCATTTCCATCCGAAATGGAAGACTTGCAGAGTGTAGGGCAGCAGCATACACTGCACTGCAATGGTAAGGCTTCTCATCTTCAATATGGAGGAAAGATGAAACCTTACCTGTAAAAATTACATGAAGACAAAGATTAATCCATATAAATTTTAGACTAGAGGAATAAGGGCGAAGAGCACAAACCAGGATTAGCATAAATCACACAAACTGAAAAGTGAGAATTTAACCAGTCCACGTGCATAAATTGAGTTCAACATGAATAGACACACCAATAGCTTCAGAAATTTAAGACAGGAGCTAGATGCACATTACGTACATAAGCATACAAAGAAATTTCATTGAACTAAATTGATTAATAATTCAAAAAGGTTAGTTTTAACTAGAAACAGTTAAGTGATGTGATGAAACAAAGAAAGGTAGAAATCTTTAGAACTTTACATTCCAAATGCAGGGTGTCTTACTTTCACTCAAGAATGGTAAACCAATTGGCACAATCATTTTAGAGAAGGATGCTAGTCTTGAAAATGATACTGCATCATGAAGATCTCTGACAACCTTCTGCTTCCTGCTTCTCAGATTCAAATGAGAACCAGAACCACGGACTGTATAGAGCAACGCTGGAGTGTTTGTGTATTCATCTGCAATATTTTCTAGAAAATCAGCTGCTATAGCAGAAAAACCTCCTGAGTCATCCACCATGAATTGAAAACCCTGTCAAATTTGTCAAAATTTCACAAACAAATCAAAAGAAGCAAAATCTAATGAAATCATAATATAAATCAATTCAAAATACAATCCCAATATTATGGTACACTATGCTTACATCAGAAACAATCTGATATAACAGCACAGAGCATAATCAACAATAGTCTCAAACCCTAAACAAGAGTTTAGATGCTTGAAAATAATTTTGGAATCAGATTTGCATCCTCATATTTAAATAAGCTACAATCAAACTTGAATGTACTACAGTAGAAATAGATCCTAGGAATTCAATGCTTTTAATACTGCACCAAAACTTTCCCAACCAAGCAAGATTCACACTAAAATGTCAAGGCTTTTACTAATAAAATATGAATTATACCTGGATATGATCACACTCTTCAACAAAAAACCGAAGCCTGTCACAAATTTCTTCTCCTCTTAAATTCTCAGAGAACACATCCCTTCCAATTCCATAATTGTCAAATTCTTGAATGTCCATCCATAAACCATTTAATTCGTATAAACTCTGGGGATGAAAATGGACTTTTGAGAAGTCTGTCCAACAGTGGACATCCTTATCTAAACAATCAACTATATCTTTTTGTGGAATTTGATTTAGAGAATCATCTTTACCACCATTAATACTATTCTCTTCCTGATACAAACTTTGCAAGAACAAGTTCTTCTTCCGAGGTTCTGATGCATGAGTGGAAACATTACCAGTCCTGCACATTGTTTACAAATGTTTACATCTAAAACTTATGTGCCATAAGTTCAGAATGCTGAGATTGACAATCTATATTCTTACAAAAACAATTAGTAACAACACATTAAGTTTTTTAGAGAGAGAAAGAGAATAGAAGGTCATAAGAAACAGAAGTGCAGTCCAATAGTAGGTTTATAACAGTGCCCTCTGTAAATTAATAATACCATTGTTAATCTGTAGCAAATGATAAAAGTAAATCAGAAGCAAACACCTAGAAATTTGCTTGGATGATTAACTTCAGATCTAAAATAGAAGACAACATACTTTAAGAGTGAATTAGACTATAAGATAACTAAAACAACAATATTCCTAAGGGAACAGTCCATTTATGTCAGTTGAAAATCCGACATTATCAACCATAAGAAGCCACTTAAAAAGGTTCAAGGCTCAAGCAAGAAAGTGTGGTGAAATCCATATTGAAACTATCAGATCAACTTCATTGATTATTATTCGGTTTTCTTCTGCTTGTTCTTTGGGGTTGGGTGGTTGGGAGTTGGCTGTTCAGAGAACAGAATAAAACAATACAACTTAGGTGCAAACAACTACAACTCCTCACCATGTAATAACATCAGCTGGGGCAGAGAAACCATCATTATACAACGTACCAAGCGAACTCATAGATCCAAGGGATCCTGCAATGCAAAAAACTCCCAACGATAAATTCAAGAAAGAAAGCATAATTATACGACCTAAAAAAATGAAACAGAAAAGTTCCACATGGAAATGCAGAAGCTACATATTCTTCAAGAAAACCCGCTACTTTCAGATGCCACACATCTCTTTCATCTCATGCACTCTCCGGTATCCACACAATTCTAATTTAAATAACAAATTAAATTGAGAATATGACAACACATGTAAAGAAAGTACCATGAAAATCAACCGAGAGAAGCCGAGGGGTATAAGTAAGAGTTCCCTGCACAAGTTTAAGTAACAATAACATAAAACTTCATGATAAGTTAGCAATAAATAGCTTAAAACAACATACTAGCAAATTAAAGTTTTCATCTTTCAAATTCTAGCACCAGATAATTGCCAAAAATAGTAATAATAATAATAATTGCACCTGCTGCGTCTCACCAGTACGGTAAAGCACGTCCATGTTCAGATTCTGCGCCTTGAACACTGAATCAGCGGTTTGGTCCGCCGCCAATCCGAGCATTTCATCCTTCATAATTAATCACAGACAATGGAAAGTAAAGAATGAGGAACTAATGCTACCAAATTATCCCAAAGAATTCACCAAAATCAACGAGAAAAATGAAAAACACAGAACCAGACACTAAAAAGGGCCATAATTGATGCTGGGTGGATGTTAAAAACTGAAAATAAAAATCTAACCTGGAAGTTCCAGAAGTGAGAGCCGATGAAGTTAGCGAAACCTCCGACTTGGATGGTGACGATTTCTCTCATGGTTACCCACCAAAAATTCGGCCGGAAAGAGTTCGGGTGCTGTGTTATGTTTTCACTGAGGCAACAAAGAAAGGGAAACAAATCGATCGTCAGTAATTGGGCTGGGATAGTCAATGCGCTCTTGAATTGTAAGCTGCACTCTTAGTTTGGGCTTGGGCTTCTTCCCATTCGATTTCCTTACTGTTTTTGTTTTTTTTTTTTTTGGCAGCGCAGCGCTCACGAACCGATTAGCCCCTTTTTTCTTGTCTGTTGAATGGCTGCTCTTATCTCTGTGCTTTCCCTTTCTGATTTTCCATGGAATGATGGTTGAGAATGGCAGCTTGTTTGAGATGGTGCCAGCGGCTGTTGTGTAGAATAAGAGATGAAAACCCCAAAAGGGGGAATAGGGTGTGCGGCTGAGAGGAAGAGAGGCTAGTGACTGCCGGCGGTCCGGTGGAAGGGTGAGAGGATTGGCGATGGAAGCTAAGAGAAGGAAGAAGAGTAGCAGAAGCGTGCGGGTGAGAGGAAGGAGAAAGGTTTGTGGGTTGGACCGGGTGGCGGGTAGACATTTGGTTTTGTGGGTTTTGCTGAAATGGGTTTGTGTTTGGGCTCCAAATTCTGGTTTATTCCTTTCTTCTTCTTTTTTTATTTTTTTACTAGATAATTCCCTCACTTTTTATGTATCTCAATTCAGTCCTTTTTGAGCATTTTCTCCATTTTAATTCTTCAATCGCATTCTGCTTTATTGCAAATAAGTCTTGCAATATAAAATAAAATGAATTAAACATTTCCATTTAAAATTAAATTTCTGTCATTTTAAATTTTTTTTACGCTTTCTTTTCTTTTCTCTTTTTTGCTTAAATTTTTTATTTTTTACAAAAACTTGGTGAAAATCAAATTATGACAAATATTTTACATATTTTAAATAATTCTAATTAATATTTTATATATTTTTACTATAATAAAAGGGAAAAAAAAAATACATAGTACACACGTCAATAGTTTTAATGTTGAAGGAAAAATTATTACTGATACCCCCTTGAGCAAGATGTCAATTTATGTTTATGTCCTGGATTTCATTTTTTTTCTCTCGATTTTGAGTTGTATAAATGGAAAACAACCCTCTTTTATTCTTCTACTTACCTTACTCCGTATCCTTAGAATTTAAATTCAAACTTTTTCTAGTAAAAGAAAATTAGCATTGGAGTAGTTAACAAACGTCTTGAATGTTTAAGCAAAGAACAAGGAGGATACTTAGAAACGGTGCACCATACAGATATTTTCTTTTCACGTAGTCACGTGTTTGTTTGATTTGAATAATTTGCAGGTTTTGGATCATTCATGTTTCATTTCAATGTGAAAGACAAAAGTCTTAATGTGGGCTCACCATATCCATTCGCTGCGATTTTGTAACCAAGTTTATTTTGCCTTTGATAATAACGTCTTTGTCTTCAGGTTCAATCCTACCATTCCTTGCCCTTTGTGAATCTCTTATGTTTCACCACCACATGAATTCCATAACCAAATAGGATTTAAAGTACCGAGAAATCAAACCTCAAAGGATGAGATAAAAGAACATCAGTTTCAATTGACATAAATGAGAAGAAAGGAAGAAGAAGTTGTTATTCTGCTTCCTTTACTACAATTCATAATTTCATATATAAGAAATGGGAAATTCTACCAATTCAATGGTTGAAGTCATCTGCAAAATCTCCTTAAAGCTACCAAATGTACCTCACAAACAACTCCAATATTGAATCTATCTTCTTTGGGAACTGGATTATATGTTTACAATGCAATGTCTTATGTATCTGCAAAATTTTGATGGTGATAAGTTATTTGATTATAACGCAATTTCCCTGGACTTATGAACCCCACCTCTCCAACTCCGGCCATCTGATTTTTCATCTTCTTCTGCCTCCATGCTATTGCATCCAGTACTTGATGTACCCTTAGCAGATCCACTCACAAGGAGGGGACCTTTTGGTGAACCATATTTTGAAATGCTGGCCTTCATCCGTTCGCTCCACTGCTCTTGAGCCATGGATGGATCGTTTGCCTCAACAGCTGGAAGTTTTCGGACATGAAGCCTATATTTCTGTCAAATACACAACAATTCACATCCTAAATCAGAATACATATGCCCACAAAACATCATACATGAAGAATTAATATTCACTTAAAACACCATATCAGAAGAATTACCTGTAAATGGCTTTTTACTTCATCATTTGTAAGGCCATCTACTTGCATTAGTTCTCGGATTTGTTTAGGAGTTGCCACTGTGAAAGGAATACATACTAATCACAAAGAGAACAAAGATACACACCAAAAGAACTCAATTGGAATATTTTGATCATAACTCTATGCAGTATTTGTAAAAGAACCAAGTTCTATTGCTTTAGCGTTAAAAAGCATGATTCTATCAATTTGACAAATCAGAATAAAGTGATGCCTGGAAAAAGAGGTTCTTTCATTGGATCTTTACAGGGATTGCATTTTATATACAAAACAAATAGAAACAGCATCAATCCTAAGAGATTAATAAATTATCACTTTGCATTTTCAGTCCTGTGATTTGATAATTGGCAAAAATTGTCTTTAATCTAATCAAATATTAAGATTTAGCTCCAAGGTCTAACCTTGCGATCCACCAAGCTGTTGAAGTGCGTCCACAAAGCGCCTATGGAGGTCCGGTGACCAGCACCGTCTTTGTTTCCTGGAATTCTGTGGCTGTTGCTGCTGTTGCTGTTGCTCTTGGGGTTTGCTGTGTACCTTCATATGGTCATGATTTTCTGACAAAGAACCATATATGATGCTGCTAATGTTCTTCAAACCCGAATTACAAGAACCCAATTCAGAAATTGGACTAACGAGTGAGAGATCAGTAATCCCCTCACCCTGCCTGATCTCAGATTGCCCTTTGAATGGTACAAATGCTCCTCCCTTGCCCTTGTTTGTGCTGTTATTATGCAGCTGAATTGGGTTCTCAGATAGAGACAGATCATCTTCCTTACTTCTCTGTCAATTGAAAATAAAATAAAAATCACATCTTTTAACACCAAACAGAATTGCATCAAAAGACAGAAACTTATAGCATTTTACCAGATCATTCAGTTCTGGGACTGTGTCCTGCTTCTTGTGATCATAGCTAATATCACTGTTCCAAAGCTGAACAGAACTCATCCAGTTTTTTTTATCACTGATTTCATCTTCTTCAACATTTCTCTTCAATGGCGAAATTTCTTCCGACACAGATCGATTATTCAATTCCTTACACCGCATTTCCTCCTCCTTCAATCTCCCAATAGCTGCAACAACCCCTCAAAAAAGGTCAAAAAAGCTTTAAAAAAAATAAAAAAGGAGAAAATTAACAAACAGAAAAATGAAGGTACCGTCGTTGAGGAGCAGCATGCAAAGAGGGAGTTCACGTTTAAAAGCATCAATCTTTCTCATCTCATCTTCCAATCTTCTCAAATAATCATCAATCATCGATAATCTCTGAAACCCATCTCCGATCTTGGAAACTTCTCCGAGAAACTCAGACATGGTTTTGGGTAAATAAACTGGACCCAAATCCAAACGCAGCTCCACCATTTTCCCTCACTTTCTCGAATATTTTCTCGCTCTTTCTTTCTCTTACATCGCCCAGATAAACACGAGAATGAACAGATCTTTGTTTATATAGAAAAAAAAAATGTTGGAGATTCAGATTCGCCTGCTCGCAAACGGATCGTCGCGTAATTTAGGTTAACTCGGTGACTCGGTAAGGTAACTCAGCGGATTTGGTAAGAAATCGATGAGTGGACTCGCTAGATTGGGTTATGGTGCTTAGGGATAGGGAATCCGTTGGGACCAAACCACACGCGGCGAATTGTTCTTTGGTTTTTTTGACTTTTGCGGTAAGAAAGTTAATGTACTGTTTGGAAAAATTCCACTCTAAGCCCCCAAGCTTATCCTAAATTAATATATAAGCCCTCAAATTAAAAACCATGTAAATAATCCCTCGAGCCCTTTCATGATGCAAATTAACCTTTAAATCTCTTGAAAGATGTAAATCAACTCTCATTATTAACAGCTTAACACATGTGACTTAACATTGTTTCTTTCTTTCTTTACTTAGTTCCATTTTTTTGTGTGGATGTTAATGTGAATTAAAACTCTTTAAATGATAAAAATATTGTTTAAATTATTTACATTATAACTAGACTTTTACCACATAAGGGATTTTATGATTCACATCAACGTCAACATGGAAAAGTGGGACTAAATAAAGGAAGAAAAGACAATATGAGGTTACATGTGTTGGGTGGCTACTAATGAGGTTTGATTTTCATTTTTCGAGAGATTTAAGAGTTAATTTGAATTATTTGAGAGGTTTGAAAGTTTACTTGCACCATTTTTAGTTTAAGGACTCACATGCTAATTTGGATTAAGTATGGGGGCTCTAGAGGGATTTTATTTTACCGTTTAGCATTTTCAAGATTCTTCGGTTGGTAGCTGCATGTTGACCACTGTAAGATGTGGGTAGTTTGGTCATTTAGTGTGTCGGTGTTTGATCCCGTGGAAATATTAATATATTTAAAAATGTAGGTTGAAAAAAAAAAGATATTTAAAAATATAATATCGTGATAGCTTTCTCAATTGGGAATATTCAATTATTTTATTATATTTGGCAGTGCCATATTTTGTCTAGATCCATTACCTTAAGATAACAAAATAATTCAATGCCAACGATGCCCCTTTCGTGTGAAGCCATATTGAACTTTCTATTTTGCTCCTTTCATTGTTGGGTATTCAGTCATTTCAACACAATATTTTGAATGAATCAATATATATTGATAATATAAGTATTTAACCAACAATCTGTCTGTCCATTAAATTAATTAGGACTCAATATGATTATCAAATGCTGAAAAATCAATACCAAAATATTAATATTTAAATTTTTAATTCAATTAAATTCATTAGTATTTACAAACTATGGAGCAAAACTCCTCTTTCAAGAATAATGAATGTGGTACATTAAAATCATTTACACTCAAATAGTCATGAAGAGACTCAAACCTATATTTTTTGATATAGTTTAATATATATATATATTAGTTTTAATTCAAAAAAACATTAGAATCTTAATATTAAAATACGTCATTTTATTTAATTTAAAATTTAAAAATTTATTTTTATTAAATATTAATATTTAAATTTAAAAATTAATTAAATTTCTAAATTTTAATTAAAATTTTAATTTTTAAAATATAAATTAAAACTCTAAATTTTTTAAAAATTCAGAACTGATACATACTAACATCTACTTTAAAATCATTTTTACCACCTGAGCTAATAATTTAGATAAGAACTCTAAGACTCTAACTACTCTGGAAGGTATTGTTATCCTTCTATTTTCTTCCAATTTTTCCCTTCTTTTCTCTCATTTATATATATAAAATTTAAAAGAAATAAAAAAAAAAAAAGCGAAGGGATCCCATCGTTGTTTATTATTATTATTATATTTTTTATTATTTTTTTTATTTTTTTCTAAATAAGAAACCTTCTCCCCTTCAAATCAAACGGACTTTAACCTTAGGTACTTTCAAAGTTAACCTTCCCCTCTTTGGAATCTCCCCCCTTCTCCTTATACCATCATCCCAAAACCAATCTCCTCTCATTCGTCATTGCAGAACAATGCAACACTAAATTTTGTAAGGTAGTTGCACATATGTGTATTCTGATGTTGCTTATTATTGGTATTCATTCTTTGTAAGAGTTTGCTGCTCTATTGTATTATAATATTACTTTGAATAAATAAAATTCACATTTTATCTCAAAAAAGAAAAAGAAAAAGAAAGAAGAAGTTAATCTCAATTTATTAAGATGTAGAGATTTTAAGTTGAAACTCTTTAGTTTAAACATCAATACAAATATAAGAATTTTTAATAAAAAAAATAAAAGAAATGTTTTTTAGTCAGCCAAGCAATTAAAAAACTTAGTTTGTGTAAAAATTAACAAAAATATTAATAATTAATTAATTTTCATGCATTTTTTACCAAAAAAGTAAAA